TAATTTTTAAAGACAATCGCATGGCACCACCCAATTCTGTCTAAGCAATTCCAAAATTACTCCAATCAAAATCCCAATCGCAATTATCGCGCAAAAACCCTAGGCAATGCCGCGGTGATTGGAGAACAATCTCGGTCGAAGATGTTGGCGGTTTTGTAGAGGGGAGGCCGGTGAAGCTTAGAGTGGCGACAGGTTGGATTCTGAAGGTCGGGATCGACCGGAATCTAGCCTGAGAGGGGCGATCGCGCGAAGAGCAGATGCCGAGGTAATATTTTGTACTGTTATTAAATTTTAGTACATCTTGATATGTTTCAGTATCTTTAGGCACATAAAGTTACATTATGTAATGCTTTAGGTTGTAGGTTGGTAAAAGGATCAAGGGGTGATGTAACCATCACAATATCGAGGTCTGTATGTGATTTTATGTTTTGTAGATAAAGATGTGAAGTTTTTCCCTTTACTGAAATATGTGCTACTTCTTGCAGTGAAGTCGGAGAAAGGTGTTGTCCCAAGGGCCATTTGTGTTGGTTTTGAGGAACCTATTAAGCCAGCTGTTTGTTTGAGTGGTGGTAAGCTTTAATTTAGTCTGATACTAATTAGGGAAAATGTGTTACACTTGTTGGGTCATATATAATTTATCTGGTGCAACAATTGAAGTCTCAAAGCTTCAATACTTAAGTGTGCTAATTGAATCTTGAAATTGGAGAGGTTAGAACATATTCAGGACCCTTTGGTGGGAGTTGGAACCTTCACCGAGCATGGTTTAACTCTTGGAGATGTGTTTGTTTTGAACATAAGTTCTTACCATGATTATTTTTTTTACTTTTATTTTCTATCCTGATTATTTTTTGTTCTGGTTTACAGTCAATTCTTACCATGATTGCTCTAGCTCTTAGTGTAATTTATTACCAGCCGTAGAAATTTTTTCAGCATTTACCATTGTCGGGCTCTGGTAGTCTATAAATTTCAACGCCAGACTCCCTACTTTTGCATTCCTTTTTCGTTCTTCCTTGTGTTGTGCCGTCTCTGTATTTCGTTTAGGTGCTTTATTTCTCTTCTTCTTGTTCGTTATTCTGTTTATTTTTAGTTCTGAATATTATGTCTTACGTATTCTTTACAAAGTTTCTGTTTTTTATTTCATCTGGTCAATGTTTTGATGACAAACCAGTACTCTGTTTCTTTACACTAACATAATTCTGGATCTTATTGCAATTGCTAGTGATCTTCTTGTAGATTTTTTAGAACTTCTTGGAATAAAAAAAATCAGCTTCAGATTCTGTTGCTAGTCAAAGTTAGTTTCCCCTTTTTACATGATTCTGCAACTCTGTTTACTTGGTAATTAAGAAATTTGTTGAGTATTGTAAGCATGCACCAAATGCAGAGAGATCTTAATCTCTGTTTAAGTAAATTAAGATTGTAATCTTAGTTGAACTATGAAAGACTAAACTTCAATTAATACGTTGATGTGGTTGGTTGGTGAGACTGAGGTGGTAGGTTTTGAATTTCTGAACTTTCCTTCTAGAATAGTATAAACTGAGGTTGGTTTTGACTTAAATGATGTTTATCCATGATTCATCTCTGCCTATTTAACTCTACTTTGTTTGGATAATTTTCAACGTGTTACTTGCACTTTGATCCTCTGTTGTTGAAGTAGTCTGAGATTGTTCGGCAGTATGTGTAGAGTGGTGTGTGCTGGAATTGAAGTAGTGATCTAGCAGTTTGTTTCTACAATTTCCAGGAGTCTTGGGCAGTATGTGCAGGGTGGTGTGTGCTGGAATTGAAGTAGTGATCTGGCAGTTTGTTTCTGCAGTTTCCAGGAGTCTTGGGCAGTATGTGTAGGGTGGTGTGTGCTGGAATTGAAGTAGTGATCTGGCAGTTTGTTTCTGTAGTTTCCAAGAGTCTTGGGCAGTATGTGCAGGGTGGTGTGGGCTGGAATTGAAGTAGTGATATGCATGGTGGTGTGTATGGAGCTACAACATGATTGCTGCATTTTCTGCAGTTTCTAGGTGAAGTCTTCAGTTTGGTTGTCTTGTGTTTGTGTTACTTTTCTGTTGCTCATGTTTCTTTTTGTGTAGTTCAGTCCCTTGGGCATGTCCAAGGTTCATGGTTCTAAAAGGCAGTCGCCTTTTTAGGTTGTAATTCGTTTATTTTCTAATAAAATTATCGAGTTTACCCAATAAAAAAATTGCATCTGTAATGTTTATAATTAACTAAAAGCAAATTACACGTGATACCATCACAGTTTCAAGAGGAAAAGTTGGCTTCTCTTTGGCACCAAAAATAAAAAATAGAAAATTTTCTATAGAATTGTATTACTAGCATGCACAAATACATAGAAACCATATTGATTCACATAAAAGAAAATAAATAAAAATTCATGAAAGATATCATCATAGCTGGTTTTTTTCTCCAGTTTCATCCTAAACAGCAAGTTCCATCCTAAACATCTTCGAGTTCCATCCTAACATCCTCAAGATATCTTTACAGCTGATTTTTTTCAAATTCTACAGCTTCTCAAATTCTGCACAAACTGGAGAAAGACTGCAGCTTCTCAAATTCTGCAGTTGCAGTAGAAACTTATCCAAGCTTCCCATCCAACAAACTGGAGAAAGACTGCAAGGTTAATGGTTCCAGCAAGATTTTTTTTTTTTTTTTTTTTGGATAATCTAGAAATTTTATAAAAGAATAAAAAATTATGACAACCTAACAAGGGGACTCCCCTTTAAAACTAAATCCTTTGGATAAGCCCAAAGGACTAAGCAAAAAACAAAATAAGAGCAAACAAAAGGATATACACCCTTTTAGAATAAAAGCAAACAAAAAGATATACACCCTTGGACAAAAAGGACCAACCAAAAGCTATACATTTTTTCTCTAGTATAAGCATCACTAAGTGGCAATTTGTACAATCTGCCAAGTCAAAATCAGTCCGAGAGAGCTCCAAATTATCAGCTTCCTGCTACTGATTGCTTCTGCACAAGGTACATGTACAATTGGACTATGTCCACCAGTCCTGTAGAATGTCTCCAAATCAATGAACTATGCATAAAAAAAATGGCAACATAAAAAAGACTATTAAGCAATCTAATTACTCCAGTTTTAATTTTGAACACCTAAGTCAAATAGTATCCAAACGGTATCCAAATCAATGGAGTTGATGCCCTTCAGCTGATGAAAATGAACATCCAACCTCCTGATCTTTATGTTCTTTTGATCCCTGTGCAAGATACAACAAGAACTCAACAACATTAGTAGACTGGGAAATTTACACACACACACACACACACACACATATAGTAAATGTGATTCTAAAATAACAATCTTGAGCTTTATACATTTCTACGATTCACATACATGTTGAAACATCAACTTAAACAAAGAAACATAAATAAATTACATACCTGAGATGCTTCATTAAATCCAAGTATGAGATTAGGATTAGAACTCATAGCAATTTCCAACTTTCGCAATTTCTTATTTTTGGCTTTACGAACAATTTGTTCAACCTTCGACTGTTTTCTTTTGAATGGCGGACGGCCTTTGCTGCGAACAACCCGTGGAGTAAGAATATTACTACTACCCTCTTTGGAAGTACCGCCAACAGCTTCACAATTTGTTGTACTGTTAGATGACTTGTTTAGTCCTTTATCAATCTCGCCAACACTTTGATGCGACATCAATTTGTTCTCCATATCATTGATCATTTGCATCACCATATTACAATCATCCTCATTACTTGATGCCAAATCTGCTACCTTAGTGAACGAATTACATAACTGATCAAATCGTTTTCCTTCAACATTAGTGCTCCAACTATTATAACTTATCTGAACCTTGGTATGCCATCTGATTATATTTTTCCTCCACCGCCTTAAAATGTATTTTTCTGATACTTGGGAAATTTGCTTACGCGTCAACATTGCAATTGCATGTCAACACAAAATTCCTCTAAACTCAAACAATCGACAGTTGCAACGAATATCGCAAGATGCTTCATCAAAGCAAACAACAAAAGGATCACGACGGCGAGTCTCTCCAACCACAACATGTTCTTCTACTATAAATTCCATATAAGAATCAATCTCTTTGGAAGAACATAAATCACAATAGAGCTTACCAGCAACCTCTTGTTGAAACTCTTTAAATTTCCCAATGGTATATGCATCTTGAAATTGTTTCTCAATAGCATAAGTGCTTATGCAAGGGATCCATAATGTGAAAGATTTAAAATTAGCCTCCCTTTCTTTTTCTAATTTATCACGCAATGCATTTTCATATTGTTCCACAAACTGTTTTAAAGTGGTTTTTGAATTAACATATCCATCAAAGAATGCATGCATGCTTTCACTACGTTGAGTAGTAGACATACCTGCCCAAAAAGTATCTTTTACAAAAGCTGGCACCTAACGTCGTCTTTCATTATACAATCCAAGTAACCAACCATTATCGTGAAGGTTGTATTTATGAATGAATCTATTCCAGTGTTCATCAAACACCTCACGTGTCAATGAATCATACACGACATTCTGTAAAGAAAACTTAATATGTTCAGATTGGCCATAACCTCTTAACTTTTCAGGCAATTTCTTCATTATATGCCACAAACATCATCTATGTCGTATACTAGGGAACACAATCTCGATTGCATTTTGCATTGCCTTATCTTGATCAGTGATTATTGCCTTAGGGGCACAATTCAGCATACATGCAAGCCAAGATTGAAAAAGCCATACAAATGTTTGTGTGTCCTCATTGGAGACTAACCCACAACCTAACAATATTGAGTGGCCATGATGATCAACACTAACAAAACAAGCAAACGGCATATCATACTTGTTGGTCAAATATGTCGTGTCGAATGTTACAACGTCACCAAATTCTTTAAATGCGGCCCTAGTTCTTGTATCCACCCATAAAATATTTTTTAATCGACCCTCTTCATCTAAATCCATGGTGTAGAAGAAATTTGAATTCTCATTTTGCATTTTCAAAAAATATGTTTAGATTGCAGAAGCATCTCCAACACCAAGTCGGAGTCTCCTAACTTTTTCAATGCAGTTTCTACAATCTTTCTGTAGGAAAGGCAAATTCTCAGCACCGCCTGCTTCAACTAATAAGGAATGAAAGTTTTTATTTGGCCTAATCCCAACCCTATCATTCACTTCCAGCTTCCTTTTCACATATGGTTGTATTACGCGATTGCTCTTGAAAAATCTAGTTTTGGCAGGACTATTGAGTTCATGGTTATGATCAAAGACTACTGAACATATCTGCCATTTTCTGTCAGAACGTACTGATGCACCAATCTGAGCCTTACAATCAGTTTTTGTCACGGGATGCATTTTAAAGGCATTTCTAGAGTTATTGCTCGACTTCCCACTACGAGAACAAGTCACTGTCGCAAATCTTACCTCTCCATCATCTCCTTTCTTTGAAGTTCTTACAATTACTTCAAAACCCATTTTATTCCCATAGTTTTTGTAGTGTTGGAAAAGCTTATCAAATGAATCAAAAGCCATTCCAGGCCTAGGCTTCCATTCCTCTTCTGCACTTCTTGTATCTCCTGTTTCTTGTTTATTATTATCCTAATTTATTGATATAATAATATAGCCAAAATTAGAATATAATGATACTTAAAAAAGGTAGAAATAATACCATAGAAAGATTAAAATCATATTACTGAATTAAAAGAAATTACAAAGAGATTACCTCAACGACGTTCAATTGAGAAAAAGAGCTCTCTGATTTCTTTTGACTACTCTCTTCCATCTTTGGTACTATGATGTAAACATATTACCCTAAATAAAATACAAAAATTATTTTCATGTTATATAATATGATTCAATAATTTAAATGAAAAATAATATTTTTAATTAAACAATTGTTGCACCAGAAAAACTATATATGACCCAATTCCCTAATTAGTATCAGACTAAAATTAAAACTTACAACGACTCAAACAAACAGCTAGCTCACTTGGTTCCTCAAAAGCAGCACAAATGGCCTTCATAACAAAACCTTTCTCCAATTTTCCTGCAAGAAACAGTACACCATCATTCGAAATCCTGCTTTTACAGCCGAACAAATTGGACAACACATACGAAATAACAAGTCATGAGCAAAATCACACAATAGCCATATATCAATGGTGCAATTGGCAATCCTACTCTATTCTCAAAAGCTGTTTTTTCATAAGTAATAAATAATAGAGCCCAAGTTATACAAAAAACCAAGTGATAACATCACATGCAATACAACTTGTGCCCTCCTTAATATAAAAAATAACACTAACAATCCAAATATATATACAATAATTTCACTCATTGATTTTAATTGCATACCATTCAAGAGACATACATATAAAATAACTAAATAGAATCCATTGCTTCAGAACAATAACTTAATCACAATTCTACAGCAAAATTTCTTAATTTTTTTTGGATGAAAGATCAAATCTTTAAGGCCATGGCTACGAATCCAAGGTACTTGGTAATAGGGAAGAGATGAGTGACACTAGGGGTGTAAACGAGCCGAGCCAAGCCGAGCTTTTGGCTTATCAAGCTTGGCTCGTTTACAATAGTGTCGAGCTCGAGCTCGAGCTAGAGCCTGGCGAGCCTCAAAAAATTGAGACCAAGCTCGATAACGAGCTCGCGAGCCCTTATCGAGCTCGATAAGGCTCGATCAAACCACCATTTATCCGGGTTTGATCGAGCCAAGTTCCCTTTTTTTACAGCAATCTGCCTGTGTACATCATTTCATATTTACATCCAATGTTGAATTAACCATGACAGTTTCGAACATTACAAAATGTCTATTACCTTACAAAATAAAAAAACAGTCCTGAATATATACAAATAACATTCCTAGGAGATTACCGATTTCAGAGTGTCTGGTTCACGATTTGGGATTTGGGGGTCTTTGATTGCGATTTGGGATTTAGGGCAACTGGGATGGGGAACTGAAATTGACGCTCTATTTTGGTGTATCGTGTTATTTCAAATTTTCAATTTTGGGGGGGGGGGGGGGGGGGGGGGGGGGGGGGGGGAACTGTTATTTTTTAAAACTTTTTTCAATGGAAAATATCAGTTTAATACATAATAGTTTAAAAAATCACCCAAACACCCTGTGAAGTGTACAGTGCTTAATCGAGCCGGACCAGGCTCGAGAGCCCACGAGCCGAGCCAGGCTCGCGAGCCCACAAGCCGAGCTTCACTGTGTTCGAACTCGACTCGGTTAACGAACGAGTTCGAGTTGAGTCGAACCGAGCCTTATCGAGCCGGCTCGGCTTGTACAGCCAGGTGACACATGTCTGATCCAAAAACTTGGAATTGATTTGAAGAGTTGTATGGAGTATGACAATAGTTGTTTTCCTTACTTTCTTTCTTACACTTAATCAACAATAGTAAAGGAAAGAGAAGGGCTTGCAGCAATTATCCCACATTCAACTTCATGAAAAGGAAGTGACATAAGTTACTGGACAAGGAACTGATTGCCCTAAACCGTATCGAAATAGAAGGAGCTGCTCTCAAATCCCTTTTTTCTGTTACAGTTAATCCTTGAAGGGGACATGCATAATATGCCAACAAGAGGACAAAAGTGCATCAATAGTCTATCTTAGCAAACATTTGTAAAATCAGGATCAAGAGGATAGAGACACAAAATTTCTTTTAAAAGTCTAGGGATATCCATGAGCAGGAGGATTTATGAAATGATTGATTTGAAGAGTGTGTTAAAATCGTTCCAGGTAGATCATTCAAGTAAAACTGAAACTCCGGAGTTTGCAAATTTCCAATTTTCACATTTGCTTTTAACACTTTTATAACATTTTCCATTCCGTATATGTGTTTTCTGCAAAACAACCCAAATCATTCCAAACCCAATCGTTCCCATCTCTTTGCTCATGCAAGTACATACTTTGTAATGGGTGCTTCAGGAACTCAACCGCGAAATGGGCAGAAGGCAATAGGAGTAAGGTCGGCGAAGTTGGAGTTTTAAAATTTTTCACTGGAAAATATCAGTTTATACATAATAGTTTAAAAAATCACCAAAACACCCTGTGAAGTGTACAGTGCTTAATTGAGCCGGACCAGGCTCGCGAGCCACAAGCGAGCTTCACTGTCATTTTTTAAATTTTCACTGGAAAATTCAGTTTAATACATAATAGTTTAAAAATCACCAAAACACCATGTGAAGTGTACAGTGCTTAATCGAGCCGGACCAGGCTCGCGAGCCCACAAGCCGAGCTCACTGTGTTCGAACTCGACTCGGTTAACGAACCGAGTTCGAGTTGAGTCGAACCGAGCCTTATCGAGCCGAGCTCTAAATGAGCTTTATCGAGCGGCTCGGCTTGTTTACAGTCCTAGGTGAAATGTCTGATCCAAAAACTTGGAATTGATTTGAAGAGTTGTATGGATAGACAATAGTTGTTTCCTTACTTTCTTCTTACACTAATCCAACAATAGTCAAAGGAAAGAGAAGGGCTTGCAGCAATTATCCCACATTCAAATCATGAAAAGGAAGTGACATAAGTTACTGGAAAGGAACTGATTGCCCATAAACCGTATCGAAATAGAAGGAGCTGCTCTCAAATCCCTTTTTTCTGTTACAGTTAATCCTGAAGGGGACAGCATGATCATGCACATACAAGAGGACAGAAAGAGGATTAGAGACACAAAATTTCTTTTAAAAATTCTAGCGGATATCCAGTTTGAGCCAGGGAGGATTTATGAAATTGGATTGATTTGAAGAGTGTGTTAAAATCGTTCCCAGGTAGATCATTCAAGTAAAACTGAAACTCGGATTTGCAAATTTCCAATTTTCACATTTGCTTTAACACTTTTATAACATTTTCCATTACCGTATATGTGTTTTGCAAAACAACCCAAATCATTCCCAAACCCAAATTGTTCCCATCTCTTTGCTCATGCAAAGTAAACTTTGTAATGGGTGCTTCAGGAACTCAACCGCGAAATGGGCAGAAGGCAATAGCGAGTAAGGTCGGCGAAGTTGGAGTGGGTGGTGGTGCGTTTGTGGAGTGAGATTGAAACATGAAGTGTGTTCGTGTGTTTCTTTTCGGAATTGTGAAAAATGAATTTGGGAGGCAATTTTGATGGGTCTTCAATGTGCAAATCACTTTCAATTGATTGTTTTTTTTTTTTAGGTGTTATGACGTGGTGATAAGCTGACGTGGCAAATGACATCTCATCTGCCACGTCAGTCAGGATGTATCAGTCGGGAATATAGTCAGTAAATGTAGCATTATTGGTTATTCTTTTATTAGCGGGGCAATATAATCTTTGTACCAATTTTGTCCTTAGTTGATAAACATTTTGGACACAAATGCCCTCATATGTCTACCAAATAACAATTTGCCGAAATATACGAAATGACTTCTATAACCTCATAAATTTTTTTAGACATAAATGCCCCTCACTATTTACGTGAATACTACCCAAAATAAGTCAGCCATAGTAGATGATTGCCAGCTGTTGACAGTCGTCAGAACAGTGCACGACCGATCGGATCTGGCTATTAATGGCCAAATGCACAACTGTTAATGACCACAGATTTGGCTGTTAAAGGCCATGGATATGGCCGTTTTCGACCAAATCCATGGGAAAACGGCCAAATCCATGGTCATCTAGCCAATTTCAGCCTTTGATCTGATCGAAAACGGCTAGATAGGTGCACGGTCGGCCAGATCCGATTGGCTGTGCACTGTTCCAACGAATGTTGACTGTGGCCAATGGTGGTGGCCGACGGTCGGTAGTCATCTTCGGGTTGGGGGTATTTTGTTAAATTTTAAATTTTTATCTGGGTGTTGTAGCTAAATTCTAAAATGTAAGGGCTTAAAAATGATACTCTAAATAATAATAATATTATTAAAAAGGAAGGGCAATTTAGTAAAAGGCTTCTCCATAATTCTTTTATTCCTCCCATCCAAACATATTAATATAACATTCTCTATTAATCTTCAAGGTAATATATATCATTGATAATCCTATCTTTTCAGTAATAAAATATTGCCGAAACCAAAAGTAGCCTTAGAAGTATATATATTTTATTATTTTAATTTGAAATATTAATTAGTCTTTTTATATCATTCACTTAAATAATACACTTAATATCACTCACTTAAGTGATCATATTATTTGTTGAAGTGTGATTTTGACATCAACGACCTCACACGTGCAAAGTGCTAAGAAAGTCTTATAAATTACACGTGAATGATTATAAGAGTTGATTATGATGCAGAAATTATATATGTTTGCAGAAACATAAATAATAGATTGATAAGAAAGATTTTTATAGTGGTTCGGATGCTTAAAGCAAATCCTACATCTATTGTTATTTTATTATTCTCTGACTATTTTTCTGATATTGCCTGTAAAGCGTACGAAAATAGAGAAATGTTTTGTTTACAGATAAAAAATAATGGTTGAAGTTCTCGTTTGTGCCCAGCTCTAAGATGTTTGGCCCCCTCTTTCATGAAGAGAGGTGCTCATTTATACCTTTGAGGTCAATGTAATAAGTGTTTTTACAAGTTACCTTGACACGTGAGGACCACTCGTTAATTCTTATCTTAAAATGAGATAGGATTGATATAAAATATCTCTTTGAGATAGTTTGTGTTTTGATAGCTAATACCACTTTGTCTTTGAGTGCTTGTTAAACTCTAATTGGTGGTGCTGACATTGGTGTATATTTTTGGCACAACATTATTATTATTATTGTTGTTGTTGTTAAAAGAATTAGAATGAAAACAATCA